TCGCTTGTTCCAATACCCTTTTGGGCATTCTTGTCCATGCGAGAATATTCGTCCAACACAGGACCCATGTAACCGAATGATTTACTAGTAGAAATTGACAAAATAACTCGAATTGCGCGCATTTTCCAATTTAATGACCTTTTTTGTCACAAAAAAAGTTAGGTGATCAAACTGTCCCATTTTTAATAGTTGAGTGATAATTTTGGCCCTTCACTCTAGGGAAAAAATAGTCAAGGATATCTATAGTATTATAACACTCTTGCGCATGAATGAAGTAACACTAGACTTTTAAACCTTGGGGGGCAAAGTGTACATAAAACTTATATAGCGTGGCAAAAGTGAAACTAATTCCTAATTAGGGGGCAAATTGCAATTAAGTCTCTGCATATTTTTCCCAAATTGCACTCCAACAATTGAAAAGCAAGAATTAGTAATATCGGAGAGAAAGAGCCCAAAAATTCCAATCCAATAGAATGAGTAGTAGTAATTACAACGGCAGAAAGAAGATGGAGAAGTCAGTTGAAGAAGATGAAGTGGATGAATTGCTGAAAGCTGCACAAGATGATATGCTTCTTAAACTCAGCCTCAATTCCCACATGACCCACTCTTCCTCTCAATTTTCTAGCATTGACCCTGATCTTGATTCACGCTTTCTAGCCCTGAAAAAACCCCATCAATCAAAATCAAATTCAAAATCAATATCAAAATCAAAGCTTGATGATACAGCAGGCACAACCCAGCAAAACCCAGAAAAGGTTTTGCAAAATATCGATGAAAGTGATGATCTTTTTGCAAGATTTGCTGCTCTCAAGAGTTCTCTTCCTTCGTATAATACTTCTGTTAGAGATGGTCAAGTGCAGCAGCAGCAGCAGTTGATGGATGATGATGGTGCTGGAGAAGAAGATGAAGTGGAGAAGGTAATTAAGTGGGCTATTGATGCTGCTAGGCTTGACCCTTCTCCTCCCTCTAATTCTAATGATGATGCTGCTAGTGATGCTGATGATGTTAGTGATGAGGAGGAGGATGATGGTCATGGTGTTGATGCGGGGAAAAAGAGTAAAGGGAAATGATGAGTGGGTGTAGTATGACTGTTTTTGTCAATTGTCATTCTCTGCAAACTGTAAGAGTTAGAGCTAATTCATAAAGAATCAAAATTTTGAGACTTTCTACTTATTTCTAAATTGTTGTTGTTTTGAAGCATAAATTAAATACACATTGCTGAATAATCTTCTGTATTTGGTGTGACGTAAGAATGGGATTTGGTTTACATAATGAAAAATTTAATTGTTTTTTTCTCTTACGGTGCTTTCATTGGACGGAGGTCAGATTTTTTCACTATCTCTAAGTTTAAACTGTAGAATGATATGCTAACAGGCCTAAAATTAGTGGTCTTTTGGAATATGTTAGTTTTACTCTATCTTCTGAAACACTCCAAGGAGCATTATTTTGCATCATGATTTTCTGTTGAATGATTCTTTCATCCTACCACAGTGATTGTCTGAAAAATTTTTATTACCATATTTGTTTTCCGATTGCATTTTCTTTGAAGTTAGCTGGGTTTGCTTTAAAACTAGGAGTGAGCCTTGGGAAAAATCGCATACTGTTAGAAAGTTGAGTAGAATTACTTCATGGAAAGCTCAAAAATTGGTGGTTAGTAGACCTTGATTCTCAAATTCAGACCAAAGTTGCAATTGCTTGGTTCCGCAATTCAGCTGTTTCACTGCATATGTTTCTAATTTTTGGTCTTTCAAGTGGTTAAGAACTCTTCCAATTCATTTGGCTTAGGTATTCATATTTACGTAGAAAAGACTCTGTAAAGAGACTCTTCATTTTAACACTATTCACTCCTTTGCATGTAAAAAATTTGATCATGCTTAAAGGAATCTTGGTTTCCGCAAAACAATGATTGGGGGTTGCAGATGACATAGACTAGCACTAGCAAGTTCTGAATAGTTTCTACTTGCATTTCTGTCAACTTTATGTGGAGGCAGACCAGATTGCTCTAAAGGGTGCCTTGATAATTTTTCACCATTTTGGATGTTTAGAAAACTATGTGATTAATAATAGAAATACTGTACACTATGTCATTATCTTTTCTAATTGAATCTTCAACCTGCTGCTAGCAAAACAGTGCAATGGGTTAAAGCTTAAATATTTGGAATATTTCACGTTATACTAAAATAATTGAAGAGGTTGCCACTTGATGGATTCCAAATTGGGTTGTCACATTGCCTGTTTGAGTGGAATCTAGAGTAGACAAATTCTGTTGCTATGATGCAATAATCTTATTGCTAGATGCTAACCATCCTTATTGATGTGGTGTTAACTATTTTAGTAATGCAAAAATAGGCCATAAATGTATTAAGTTTTTTTCTTAACTGGATTTCTGATCTCCAAAAGAGCAAGACTTCTTTCTTTTCATGCTCGTAGTTCTGCAAATACAGCACTTCATCTTTGTGCAAGCAGGATCCAATAATTGGGTATCATTTGACGCTTCAAACTTTTATTGTTGGAGATCTTTTGATTTGAAATGGAAAGAGGCATTAGGTGAAAGTAGTTGCAACGAAAATACTGCCTCTGTCTTTTACAAATTTCCTCTCCTTTACCTCATCTTTCGTCTCTTTTGATGGAGACTGGCAAGGAAAGAATCTAAAATAGAAAGCCAAGGCTTGTGCAAAAGCTTGAGAACGCAGAGGTATAGTCGTCTGTGGTTATGTCTTTTCTGCAAATAGAATTTCTATCCAGAAAATTTCCCCCTCTGTTAAAACTATTTACCATCAATATTGAAACTCATTGTACTCAAGGGCCTGTAGTTTCCAACAATTAGTGGTTTGATCTCTGGTTACTGATGAATTGTTGAGAATGAAATTCTAATATGATTTATGTCCTAGACGAAGAATTGTGCCTGGAATCTCTTTGGTGTGAGTAGGATAACATCCAGGTTTTGTTTAGGATTTCAGAATGGACAAGAGAGTTCGACGTATATATGATACAAGTGACAGAATATGATCCAGATCAATATTTTAGCATCACACTGGCGGTAATTTAGAAGTTCTGTTATGCAGATTATGGATGAAATGCACAATGGAACCCATACATTGCTTACTTGAGTTTGTGATCTTTGAAATCATTGACTGCTTTAGTTCTTTTATATCACTAAACCCTAGTGGCATGACCTGGCTAAGATTTTGTGTCCAGGCCATTTTTGCCTGAAAAGAAACCTGCAAGTTCTTTCTTCACAATTTTCTCTTTAATTAGGAATGATCTGCTTTTATTTTCTGGGACCCAGCCTAATTATTATTTGTTTTGATCCAACCTAATCATCAACCACAGATTTATGAGCTTGTATTGGTATTTGCACAAATTTTATTTGTTGGATAGAAGAATATACTGCTTTATACATATTTGGAATGCTTTATCAAACACAATAACTTCTTCCTTTATGGAGATTAAGCCATTTTTTAGTTTTTGTTCTAATATAAATGCTGTCTAAGCAACTTGATTAATACTTGCCACTTGGAATATGATGACATCCAATATGCTTTCCATGAAATTAGTTTTGTCTGCTACACTTTCAAAAGTTTGATTGTTGAGATTTGACTCCATTACTATCAAGCTCTACATTTATTTCCTAGAGTAACCTTCATCTTTTCCAACCAGGAGAGGAGAACAATTTTGTCGGAGTGCATTTAAAAGGTTTTCATATGTATGAGATATTATATTTTCCTTTTGGAATGTGCAAGTATTAGTTACAGGAGATGTAGGCTCTCATGGTTGTATACTTTTAGATGTTATGTTTTGATACTTTGTGGAACTTAAAGATCCAGAAGAGTGCTTTTAGTTATCTACAACTAGCTGCAAGCAAAGGAATCCCCATGCCAAGATCAGTAAAGGGATAATTTGCAGAAAACATTACCTTAATTAGGCATGTTAGTTTGTAAGATTCCAAATGCTTTGTTAGTTCAATAATAAACTGCAGTTATATTATCTACTTCAATTGAAATGAAATACTAAAATAAATGGTAAATCCATATCTGGCAATTCCAATCCACATTCTAATGCACAATTGTGCATGCAATATCATATTGTTCACTTTGGCTATTAAGTAAAGAGTGGGGAGATAAACTTCCAATTTTATAATTGGCATTTTAATACTATGTTCACACTTCTGTCTGCAACTCTTTTATTTTAGAACGGAGTATTCTCTCTCTCTCTCAACCCACTCTTCCTTTCTAGTATCCTTTGATCACTCCCTTGGGAGAAATAGGTAGAGGCCACTTGTCCATGACTTGGTTTGTGAGAGATTTGATAGTTTTTGTTTTTCTTTTGTTGGTGCTTTATTAGCATTTCTCTTTTCTAAATCCCCTGAGTTTCCTGTTTTCCCACTCTATTCTTTATGCTAACAAACTTATGTGTGTTTCTGAATTACCATATCTCTAATAAATCCCTGGAATTAAACTGAAGGGCTGCAAGTTATGAGTTGTTATGATGTAGTCTGACTGGGCATTTGTTTCAATTATGCAGTTATAGTGCGGCTAAATGTTCTGAAAAGTTTGTTGGACTTTATTCTTTGTTTGAGATAGATTCTAAGTTTTGTTTCTTCATATATGGTGTTTTATCCTATTTGGCATCTTGTGTTACTCTAAATTTTGGTTCTAAGTTTGTTCTATTTCAGTCTGTTGTTTTTAGTCAAAATATAGTAGCTTTTATTAGGTAAACTTTCTGGTCTAATTTCTTCAAGCATGTAAACGACATATTGATAGTTGTTACTAACAGAGCAGAGCAAAAGAAATTGGTCTTGCCTGTAAATTTATCTTTATTAGTAAGAGTTGTTTATGCACATCACAAGGGAATACCTGATTTTACCCGTGTTACTTTTCTATATGGTAATTACAATAGGAATTTATGCCCAAGGTCTGGCATTATCCCAACCTTATATCTACTTTCTTCTTTGTTCATTAGTTTTGTCTTGCTGTGTTGTTTTTTTTTTTTTGGGAAAAGGGGTGGGGGTGGGGGTGGGGTTTCTTTCTCTTCTGAGCATAGCTTGGTGTATGAGATCATCAGGTCACCATGGAACGGACATGTTGTCATAGGATTTCGCTGAAATCTCGCAGCTCTTGGAGAGCATTGCTATTTCCAATCTGTTTTGTGGTGATTCCTTAGAACCGTCATATCCAACATCGACCACTGAATGAAGCAGTATTTCAGTAAGTCACCATCTCTCTCTTGTTTGGAAGACTTTTCCTAGTCAATTAACTCTGTTTTCTCTTCTTCGTCTTCATACTCTAGAGCTAATTGTATCCACATTTCTTATAGTATAGTCATGCAAAACCATCCTGGCAAAGTTGTGGATAGTGACCATTGGCCTCTTGCTGGTCGTCGTCTGCTGGATCAAGATACCAAAACTGTAGACAGCCCAACTCCTTGATGGCTCTGTTCCTGGTCCATATTCAGGCATCTTTTAAGAATTTGCAAGTAAGAAGATTTTTTATAATTGCCCATCTGATGTTACTCTAGAAACCTCGAACTGTTGGGTAAAGAAAAGAATGCTGTAACATGAGGACTTAAGATACCACAGTATTTAGCAGGCTAAATGTCAACTAGTCAAATCAAACAATTGTATATGGAAGCTTTAGACAGTTGCAGAATCATAAACATTTTGAAATTTGAGAAATACCTCGTTAGTTATATGGTATGTGTTAATGCTATTTTTTTAAGGGTTTTATTTTTTATATTTTATTTTTTTATAACTTCTTTTTAGAAAGAACAATGTTGCAAATTCCGAGCAAAGCAAAAATTTATCAACCTGGACCTCCATAGCCTACAGTTCCTTTTTACTCCTGTTGGACCATACTTATACAAAGTTTTCACTTTTCACTTCTAGTAGAAATCTGGCTTACCGAAAATTTCCCACAAGCCGTTATATCATGGCAAGAAGAACATTACCTGGCTTTATATCACAATAAATTATTTGTTTCTGGCACTGGTTGTGAACGTAATTAATTGAACTTCCTATGTAATATTTGTTCTTTGAAAAAGATTTAGTTTGTTGGATGTTTCTATTTGTCTAGACATCCCTTGGGCATTTAATCAAGAAGTAGAGCTATAAACTCATTTTTGTGAAAATCAATACTCGAGCAAGCAGTTGTAATCTTAATATGATTTCTGCCAAACACTTGCCTAAAGATGATGTTCAACAAGAAACTCGTGGAAGCTCCTTTATGTTGAAAATTGATTACTTCAACAGTGATAGTTAGTCCATTGTGGTCAAATTATCCTAAACAGCACCAAAGCTAGCCTACAAATTACTTTGTCTTTGGATAATCCATTATTTGCATGAAGTAGTTTTCCTGTAAGAATGTTCCAGGAATGGATTTTCTGTGGTTGATTCTGCAGGGAAAACTTTTTTTATGCTCCAAATAAAGCAGTAGATAAAAGACAACAACAGGGTGGCTCTAAGAACCATAGAAACTACTGAAGGGATCATTTTGTGGATAACATACATCTTCCGTAGCTTTCGTTTTCTGACGTTGCATCTCTACAGCTAAGAACAGGTGCACCACTGTAACGACTATTATGTCTGATAACTGGTACAGCACTAATGTCTGCAAAAGGATATAATAGATTCTTCATAAAGTTGTTGAGAGAAAGATCTTAGTTGTGAACTCTGCTTAGCTGGAGAGACAGGCCCCTGGAAGAAGTTCCCCTTTAGGTATAATATGCTAGGTTGCTGCAGGTCCCAAGAAAGTTCTCTGGACAAGATAAATGATTTTCAGATATGGCCAACTCAACAAAATTCTTCAGGTTGCCAGAATTGAAGGAATAGATCCAGTTAAATGGTTTTGTGCTAGACTTAATGATTGATAACAATGCTATACTGAAGAGACTTTCTACTTCGGTTCCATTGAGCTTATTTCTGGAAGGATTGAGAACTAGTAAGTTTTGACAGTTTCCAAATTTTGCAGGCGTATATCCTTTTAATTTGTTTTCATTCAGCCATAGATCATTCAAGAGCAACAATTTCCCATAGGATATGGAAGGTTTCCTGATAAAGTTCAGCCTTTTTTGGCTTTTGAAGATTACCAATTCCAGTGGGAAAAAAGGGCAGTGGGCTTGTCATAATACTCCATAAATAACCAATTTAGGTTGACAAGATCACCAATGCACAACGAATGTCACCATAAACCTGTGTGAAGTTACTGCAAACTGTACAAGCTTAGTGGAGAATCTGCATGCATCATTTGTTATAGCTCATCGTAAAATCCAGATTGCTGCAGTTAGTGAATTCAAAAATGATTGAGCTCATCTAGTTCCCCACTAACAACATTAGTTTTTTTCTGGAGAAGTATCTCCATAAGCTGTTGTAGGTTTTAAAAATCAATTGACACCTTTCCAGTAAAACTGTTGCTTGACAACTTAAACAGCCTTAGCTTTGTAGAATTTGATAGTGAAAGTGGAAGAGCTCCAGTAAAGTTGTTGCTTCCAAGCTGATAAAGATGAAGATGGGGAAGCACGAGCACAAAGCCTGATGGAAGTTCTCCACCATGTTAATGGATGATGGGCATATACCTGATAGATTGTTGCTGCAGAATGTTAGGAATCTTAATTTTCTCAGTGCATCTGGAGTTCTCCCTTAGAGGGCATCAATAGCAGCTGATAAACTCAGAAGAGAGGTAAGATTTCCCCAAATAAGAAAAAAGAGTATTGGCTCCTGTAAAGTAGTTGTAGTGAATGAACTTTGTTTTTGTTAAGGAACCAAGTTTTGGAAGTCTCTGACCAAGTGTGTTAATTGCCACAGCAAGGCAACTAAGGTTGAATCAGTTAGACAAGTTGGCTGGTATCCGCCCTTCCCTTCGAGAAGATTCCTGTCAGGTCTAGAATCTTCATTTCAAGACGATAACCAAACTTGATAGAAATTCCACATTGAAGGGTATTGTTGTGGAGATTTATCATATAACAAAAGTTTCAGTTTATACGTCAGTCCCTCTGGAAATTAAACTAATGATGGTTACTCTGCTGTGTTCAGCTCCACAGGTGACACCTTCTCACTGGCAAAATAGAGTATGAAAGTTGCTAAATTCGGTTTGAAATCCCTTATACTCAAAAAGGGATTTGATTGGACCACTTTAGTAATAATTGTATAAATAACTATAGATGACTGTTTTTTGAAACAAAATTTTCACTTTTCTTGTATTTTCTTAGCACTCCATCTGAGTTGGAGGCTAGACACTTGTATAAGCATACTTATGGGTGCTAATAGTCAATGATGCAACAATTGTAGACATTTATAATCAACAGAAACTATGGATTCCATAGATAGTGAAGAACTCAACTAACCAACTTTGACATTTCTTAACCTTAAACTACATAAGCAAATTTTTGGCAATTGCTAAAATGGTGATAGATTTCTTCTGAGGATTCTCCAATCAATGAGGTGCTTCAAATTTCGACATAGGCATTAAAAATTTAGGTGTCACTCACGGCGCAATCACAAATCAAAGCTTCAAACAAGATTTATTATTGATGACCGGTAAAATATTACAAGCAAAACACAGTTTGATGATACATTAAAATCGCATTACCCAACAATTGAAGCTCAAGAAAAGAGCTACCAAAGAAAACAGATCCTCAATATGTTTATTTCAATCATCCAACAAGTATGTGGACATATATGAAGCAGCATTGATCACTTGTATACATCAGGATTTGCGATGAGGTAGGCTTCCACAGCCTTGAACATGGCCGAGGACCTTTCTTTTGCTGCCTTAATTTGCTGTTTTGCTCCCTCAATTTGTTCTTCGGTATACTCGATATTGCCCTTGGGGTAGTATGTGCTGGTGGTCTTACAGATTGACCCTCCATCAGCTGAGGCTTCGATTTTAATCACGTTAGCTACTTTTTCAATCTTATCACTGAAGGCATCGCTTTCAAGAATAGTATAGCTGTAGGTGAAGTTGTCTTTGTCAATTCCATCGACTCTTTGTTTTGCACCCTTATATTGACTACCTAAACATTCAACAAAGTTCAAAAAATATATATATAAAATTATTAGAATTTATGGACAAAAAATTATGAAATGATGATTAAGTGAATCTTTAGAACTAACCTTCACCAAAAGTGATCAACTTGATGGATCCCACTCCTCCATCTCCTTCAACGATTTCGACCTTTTTAATGGCCTGTGGCAGCACCTTAGTAATGAAGTGGTCATCAAGGATGAAGGCCTTGAACAACCTTGCAGGAGGGATTGAGCAGGGGACCTCATAATCACAAGTGAGAGGGGCCATGATGCCTTGCTTGGTGTTTGGGAGTAAACAAAAGTTCTCTTCAGGAACAAAGGCTTTGAAGAAATGTGTAGTTCTTGAAGAGGATCTGGGGTGCTAAGCAATGCGACTGGAGATGGTATTTATAGAATGAAATTGTAGTGTGAATCTTCTAAATACAAAGGACCTACACTGGACTTTAGAGGTGGGCAAAAAACCCGGTCCGATCCGAAACCCGGCTAACCCGATCCGATCCGAAAAATAGGATATCCGATCCTATTTTTCTTAGCGGGGCAGACACAGGTCGGGTACCCGCAAAAACGGATACGGATACGGATCAGCAAAATAAAAACTCGCGGGTACCCGACCCGCAAGATATATTATCTAAATATTAAAAAAAAAAGGGTTCATTATATAATTTTATAATTTTTAATCATAAGTGTAAGTAAAGTGGTTCACAACCTCATATTTTAATCTCATATGATCCGCCTCTCCTCATTTTGTCTAAAAAAAGCGAATATTCTTGGCGAAATCTGAACCAAATGAATAAACAAAGAAAAATTTGTGAAACTCTATCATAAAAATTGTTCGTTCCTTTCATCCTTTTTCATTTTTATTTTACTTCCATCGATCTTTCCTACAAATTTTTCATCAATTCAATCAAGAATTTGTATTTGGAGCTCCAATTTTTTGTTAGCTAGATAATTAAAACATTTGTGTCTTTCATTTATTTATTTATTTTATTGCAATTGTGCCTCTTAAATTTGCCTCCTTTTATTTTAGTGCAAGAAATTTATTTTTCTTTTTCATCACCTTTAATGCAACAAGGTCTATTCCAACGATGTAAGAAAGTTGGGGAAAATTTTTCAAGATTATTTTGGTTATACTTTCTTCAAAAATTATTAGCTCTGTTCAATTCTTTTCCGGATTTGATTCCACAATCGACTCATTTTGGATGCAATCTTGTACCATAACATCCTTAAGGAAGTTGAAAAAGTTGTCATATACTTATTATCCATGTGTTTGTTATATTGTAGAAGGATGAAATGCGTGAGAATGGTGATGTACTCAAAATTATTATAAAATTTCGTTTTATCTATTAGATATTATAATTGTAATATGTACTAAATTTATGAAATCAGTTTGATTATTGGATGAAATATGTGAGAATGGTGATGTATGGATTTTGATTATAATATCTCTACCAATATTAATTGGAAAGCATATTTTTTTTATTGGAAAACATATTGATATTAAGTGAAAAATATCTTTTTATTGAAAAATAATTTTTTTTTAGGAGCGGGTACCCTATGACCGCCCCTTTTTTTCGGGTACCCGAATAGCGGGTACCCGAAAATATTAGGAGCGGGTTAGGGTCGCAAAATGGCTGATCCGATATTTTAGGGTCGGGTCAGCCAAATCTTGTTAGGGGCGGGTACCCGACC